GAAAAAAAAAAAGAGGGGGAAAAAAAAAAAAAAAAAAAAAACGGAAAATAAAGGAGCTTTTGTCTATCCAGTAGATAGACCTGATCAGACGTTGGACATGCAAAGCATCCCTTCGTCAAGCTTTCTTTCGTCATCATTCCGTGTCGGCAGGCTTGTGGCGCGGCTTCAACTGTGGCGAAGAGCATCATTTCATTTGCAAACGCGGCACGACGGCGCCCGTCAACACCACCGCCGCCCCCACGGTTGCACCCAAAGGTGGCTGTCCACCCAAGTGGACCAAATTTGACTCCAGGGTAAGGATATTGCCATGCTTCATTTACGATTCAACTTCTGGGGGGAGTCAAGACCAAAAAAAAAAAAAAAAAGATGACAATCGATGTTCATTACACCGCAAATAGAAATATATCTCGTTGCATACTCTTTATTGATTTTGCTTTTTTGCCTATTTATTTATTTTCACAGGTAAACTTCCTACATTGGCAGGAGGGCGAGCCAAATAATTTCCAAAATTCGGAATCTTGTGCCGAGTTCCGCATGTATCGAGCCGACGACGCGGGCTCGTGGAATGACGTCCACTGCGAGAGCTACAACGACTGGCTTTGTGAGATCCGCGCGGGTAACCAATGCGCTCGAATGATTGCTTGGCTTTCAACCGACCGGGTATAGCGGCGACAAACCAGTCATTTCTCACGTGTCTTTGAATTCCAGGAGTGACTCCAAAGCCACCCCCGAACGACACCGCTGTTGGTAACGAGACACTCTGCAGACACCAAAACACATGACGTCGCGCGCGGTGAGGCCGTGTCATCAGTGTTTCCGACCGCTGTCCCTCAGCAGAGTTTAACACGACCTCGGACGGTTGGCTCGAGTGGCGAGGGAGTCAGTACCTCATCCACAGAGTGTCAATGGCCATGGAAGACGCTCGCCATTACTGCAAGCAGCACCACGGCGACTTGGTGACAATCAACAGCGAAGCGGAAAACATTTTCCTCTGGAAACAGGTGAGGACGCTGACAGTGGACTGGTGAATGCTCAACCCCAAGCTATAAAAGATACATTATTATTAGTATTATTTTTTGGTCAATGCAGATTTCCAGAACCTACGGGACCTACTACATTGGCTTATCCGTGGACCTCGATGGCTCATTTTGGTAAGGAGGAAAAAGGAACGCCACTATTAGAATGTCAGACACTTGCTCACATACCAAGCATCCAATTTTGCTGGAAAGCCCCTTGAAATGGAGTACACCTCCGAATATTGTGGCCATCCAACGGAAAATAAAAGTTGCAAACAATCGCCGTGCTGTGAAATCCCTGCAATACCACCTCCTGCTTGTTCAGGACATTTTCTACAAGCTGGGGTGGAACGGTTATTGAGCAACTGAGGAAGAAAGGCAGTGTCATGTAATCCTCCATTTTTTTTTGGTGTGTGTGTGTATGTGTGTCACTGAAGGTGGATGGATGGTACTTCGGCGGGGTTCCAAAGATGGGACGAGAACCAACCTAATCAGAATAGCTACGATGAGAACTGCGTCGCTATGTCCTACTTTATGGGTGAGTACACATTGGCAGTTTACTAGATGGACAAAAGTATTCCGTTCAACGAGAATAAGAATGCCCCCTGCTTGGCTGACTTTGGAGGCGGGACAGACAACGAAAGGGACAGCAAAAAACAGTTACACAACAGCAATATCAGCTTCTAAGATGTACTTTGAAAGGGGACAGACGGAAAGAATACAGAGGGGGCAAAAAAAAAAAAAAAAAAAAAACAGTCCAGTAGATAGACCTGATCAGACGTTGGACATGCAAAGCATCCCTTCGTCAAGCTTTCTTTCGTCATCATTCCGTGTCGGCAGGCTTGTGGCGCGGCTTCAACTGTGGCGAAGAGCATCATTTCATTTGCAAACGCGGCACGACGGCGCCCGTCAACACCACCGCCGCCCCCACGGTTGCACCCAAAGGTGGCTGTCCACCCAAGTGGACCAAATTTGACTCCAGGGTAAGGATATTGCCATGCTTCATTTACGATTCAACTTCTGGGGGGAGTCAAGACCAAAAAAAAAAAAAAAAGTTTCATTAAAAAAAAAAAAAAAAAAGAATAACGGTTTTACGGACACTTTGTGTTTGTTTTGACCTCATCTAAAATGGAGCTGGCTCATCTATCTCTCCATTTTATTTGGAGTCTCACTTGGGAATGTTGCTTTAGGATGATTGTTTTGGTAGAAACGGTTTGGATGTCAGTCAAGGTCTGTCTAAAAGTACTTGATTTCACGTCGCCAGTGCTACACCATCAACAGTAATCGCAAGACCACCTGGGAAGAAGCAAGGAAACATTGCTACTCCATGGGCGGGAATTTAGCCTCCATACCCACGAGGCGGGTGCAAGGTGCGACGGCGTTGACGTTTCCGACAGTACATTGCAAAGGAAGCGTCACAGTTCACTCTTGGTCAAAACAAACAACAACAAAAAAACCCAAACTGTCTTTCTTTGAAAACCTGCAGCGTATTTGGTCACCAAAATGGCCGAAGCGGCAGCAGACCTGTGGATCGGCCTGAACAGTTTAAAGCAAGATGCCTTTTTTTGGAGCGACGGAAAGCCAAGGCGATACACCAACTGGGGCTACTCAGTAAGTGCAAATATTTCATTTACAGCGTGTAGAAATTGACTGTCATCGGTTTTCCCGTTTTTTTTTTTTTTTGTATCTAACTATATCAATTGTCTTTAGATACATCGACGTCGTCCGGGGACTTTTTACCAAAGATGGAATGAGGTAAACGTTCAAGAATTTGACATTTAGAATGTAGACATTATAATTTGGGGAGGATGAGTCTTCCGGACTTCACAGCGACCTGATCAGCTGTGATCGGCCGTACCGCCTTCATTTTCCGGTCGATCAATGACGTCAGTGATCGGCTCTGCCTAATTAGCAGCCGTCTTTCCCACGCCGCGTCTATATTAACTCGTGGCAGGTCGCCACAAATGCATTTTGCCGGCCGCTTAAAGATTTGGTCCTGCACAGCTATAAAAGATACATTATTATTAGTATTATTTTTTGGTCAATGCAGATTTCCAGAACCTACGGGACCTACTACATTGGCTTATCCGTGGACCTCGATGGCTCATTTTGGTAAGGAGGAAAAAGGAACGCCACTATTAGAATGTCAGACACTTGCTCACATACCAAGCATCCAATTTTGCTGGAAAGCCCCTTGAAATGGAGTACACCTCCGAATATTGTGGCCATCCAACGGAAAATAAAAGTTGCAAACAATCGCCGTGCTGTGAAATCCCTGCAATACCACCTCCTGCTTGTTCAGGACATTTTCTACAAGCTGGGGTGGAACGGTTATTGAGCAACTGAGGAAGAAAGGCAGTGTCATGTAATCCTCCATTTTTTTTTGGTGTGTGTGTGTATGTGTGTCACTGAAGGTGGATGGATGGTACTTCGGCGGGGTTCCAAAGATGGGACGAGAACCAACCTAATCAGAATAGCTACGATGAGAACTGCGTCGCTATGTCCTACTTTATGGGTGAGTACACATTGGCAGTTTACTAGATGGACAAAAGTATTCCGTTCAACGAGAATAAGAATGCCCCCTGCTTGGCTGACTTTGGAGGCGGGACAGACAACGAAAGGGACAGCAAAAAACAGTTACACAACAGCAATATCAGCTTCTAAGATGTACTTTGAAAGGGGACAGACGGAAAGAATACAGAGGGGGCAAAAAAAAAAAAAAAAAAAAAAAAGCTGTTTGGTGGCAGGTGACTGAACTCCCATCACAACAAACAGCAGTTGGGCAGAGAAAGTCATGGCACTAATCCAGTAGTACTGCTGCGCGGTACCGAGAAGGTGGCGCTGAGCCCCCAGCACCGTCCTATCTGGACGCCTGTGTGATACTGCCCCCAGGTGGCCAAATGTGCAATGACTGAATGAATGACTGCATGAATGTAAATGTGTCCAGGGTGGACAACGCCTTTTTAATCAGCTTGGTGGGGGCAAGGCCTGAGAAATACTTCTGGCTGGGCCTCTCAAACCAGAAGAACAATGATGAATTTGTGTGGACCAACGACAACGCGGTCAGTTTTACGCACTGGAATAATGAGATGCCAGGTACGGTATGTGCTTTGTTGCAAATGATGGCAGAAATAGCGAGCGAGGCCGTGATTCCGACCATTCGGAAATCAGACGGAAAAGTTTTCAAGTTCATCCAAACTGACCTCGTTGGTATTTGGGGGAAGACGGGTTTGCATCTGGTTGCTGGAGCTGCGATGTTAGGATGCTTCTTTTTGAAACTAACTTGACCAAAAAACAAACAGAAATTGTAGCATATTGGAGAGATGTGAACACAACTCGCTCCAATTAAAGCACAACACGCTCTTTTTGAGCTGCGCTAAGCTAATGTATGTGATTTTAATTACATTTGAGGGGACTCTCTTTCTCCTGCTAACATGGCCGCCACGTACTGCGCATCAATTCATTTCTTTTGATGGAAAGTCACCGCTGCCATCATGGCCGCCGCGTAAGCACGGCAGTGACCCAGATGTAAGATGCGTAGTGCTCCGTGTCTGTGACGGGCGGCACAGCCTTTGTGGAAGCATCAGACTTTGACAGCGGCTCGGACATTTTGAATGAATCAGAGGTCCCTTGGCCTCAGCTCCATTCGATCCAGGTTCCACTGCATAAGTCCTATTTCAATTTTTTTTTTTTTTGCCGCCGCGTAAGCACGGCAGTGACCCAGATGTAAGATGCGTAGTGCTCCGTGTCTGTGACGGGCGGCACAGCCTTTGTGGAAGCATCAGACTTTGACAGCGGCTCGGACATTTTGAATGAATCAGAGGTCCCTTGGCCTCAGCTCCATTCGATCCAGGTTCCACTGCATAAGTCCTATTTCAATTTTTTTTTTTTTTGGAGAATAAATATATTTTGTTCTCCTGTCACGAAAGGTAGTAGACAAGGCTGCGTGGCCATGACAACTGGTATTTTTGCCGGCCTGTGGGATCTGCTGCCCTGCGACAATAAGGAGAAATACATCTGCAAGCATCTTGCCGAAGGGGCGGTTTTGTCGGCACCCCCCACGACCATCAC